AGCCTTCCAACTGATCTCTCCTACTTTAAGGTTGTTGGGGTTTTGTTTCCAGGGTTTTTTTTCTTTTCTTTTTCCCTGGGTTAGGGGAGACTGAAGTCTTGGTGGATCCTCCTTCAAAAGCCTCAGCAAAAGTCAAGACATTGACGTGAGCAGTGGAGAATAGGGGCAGCAGGTGTGTGTGGAGAACTCCCCTGGCTCACTTGTGGGGCAGGGGGGACAGAAGAAGGGGATGCAGAAGCCCGGCTGGGCCTGAGGGGAGTGGACAGCTCTGGGAGAGGGACCTCAAGGCCTCAGCCTTGCCTGGCAGGCCGCACCCATCTCCTGGTCCTAGCTGAGGGGCAGAGGTTCCCCTCCCCTCCCACCAAGGTGAGCCAGCCCCCCCCCAGGGAGCCTGGTCACCTGTCACCTGGGCCTGGGGGTCAGGGAGGAGAGAGCAGAGGAGAGAAATGAAGGAAAGGGAAGGGAGGAGGGGAAGGGAAGGAAAGCAGGAATCACCAGGGGACAGGCAAGAAGGGCCAAAATAAGAAAACCCATTTGGGCTTCTGCTGTTTGCAGGCCTTGAGCAGCGCACAGTCCAGCCAGTGGGATGAGCAGACGCAGGCGCAGCCCACTCTGTGAGGCCAGGTGACACAGCACAGGGGTGGGGAGGCTGCGGAGGAGATAGGCCTCGCACCTCGCCCGGCCTGGAGTGGGCAGGGATTGCTGCCCTGGGTGAGATGGCTCCGGCTGGCTAGTGAGCCTCCCCCAAGGGCACACGAGGGGCACTTGGTGGCTGGCAGGTAACCACTGCAGGCACATCTGTCACCAAACCCAACACAGTGTCTCGCTGCCTCCTGAAGTGGTGCCCTGGCCCTTAGGGTGGAAGTCACCATCGAAGGCAGCAGGCGAGTGGGGACTCCGGCGGGCAGACAGCTGGAGTTGCTGGAGGTGGGGTGGGGGTGCCAGGACGTGCCCACCCTAGTGCATCCTGGCCATTCTGGGAGGACTGCTGCGGGCACAAGGGGTGCCTTCTCCCTCACGCACACCGTGCCTGCGTTCCTCTGGGAAGCTCAGCTGAGCTCTGCACCCTCAACCCTCACCTGGGGCCTGGGGCAAGCGGACGGGCAAAAGGGAGCTGTCCTTCCCAAATGAGGGGGCACGAGCCACCCCAGCCCAGCACCTTGCTGGCACCACTAGTGGTAGATACTGGCGGCTACTGCCTGGCACAGCATTAATAATCATGTTTATTAATGGTCTTAATTAGCAACTGCCAGGGAGAAGCCCTGTGCTAATTCCAGCAATAATCGAGGCTTGTGGGGCGTGGACAGGAAGGGTGTAGAGGGCTGGATGGCTGCAGGTGGGGAGCAGGACGGCCTGGGTGGCTGCAGAGGCTGCAGAGGGGACCCCACCCCTACAGGCTCCCGAACCAGGGAACCAGGGCTCCTCGACCTCCCACAGTGCCGCCTCTCCGTGGCGTCGGGACAAAATGAAGCGTGAGGAATCGTGGGGAGGCGGGGGACTCTGTCTGTGCCTTTAGAACCAGACCCCAGACGACAGCCCATGGGATGGAGGCAAGTCTGCAAAAGCCTGAGTGAAATGAGCTAGAAGGGGATTGAGAACAAGCCCCACAGTGTCCTGGAGCCACATTCCTTGCTCTGGGGAGGCGGAGATGGATGGTGCTGAGCAAGGAAGGGGGGACGGGGGGGGGGGGCTTCTCCAGCTGAGGGCTCTTCTGCCAAGAGCAGGGTGGGAAAATCAAGCTGAAGTGCCCAGAGGATGCTGCGAACAAAGCCCACTTCCTCTCAGCCTCAGCCAAGTGGGGCCTGGGGACCCAAAGAGCAGCCCAGAGAGGCCAGGGTCCCATGGCAATGCAGGCGGGGGCGCCGCCATCAGGGCAGAGCTGTGGTCCACCCTCTTGGGGGACCCACCCCAGAAGGCAGACAACTGCAAAGGTCCAGCGGGGGGGGGGGTCCAGGCCGGGATGAGGCCCAGGGGACTTCGGGCCTCTGGAGGATTCCCGGTGGTGCTGGCAGCCCTGGATCAGAGCTGTGGAGGACCAAGCCGGCCAGAGACCTGGGCAGGAGGGTGGCGGGCGAGGAGCTGCAGAAGGGCCGGGGAAGGCAGGACTCTGCAGCTCTCAGGCCTGGCCCCTGGGCCCAGAGACTCATCTATGTTTCCCAGGTCCACTCCCAGAGGCTGGGGGACAGGAGAGAAGGGGGAGACCTCCGTGCCATGTGGAACGCTGTGCCAAATCACTGGATTCGAGGCCATCGCTGGGCCGGGCGTCTGGGACCCTAGCTGCACCTCTGCCTTTTCTGCTTGGTGCCTCTCAGTGCCACAGAGGCCCAGGACATCATGGGCCAGTTCTCGTTTTGGTGCCACCCTGACTGATTTTTGTCCTGCACTCTGCTTCCAGGGCCCAAAAATCTCTCCAAACAGCCCCTCGCCTGAATGGCAGGCACCCCAGTTCAAGAGTCCCGTTTTTTTGAGGCTGGGATGGGACCCAGGGCCTCCCCCAAGCGGTGCAGGCTCTACTCCCCACTCCAGGCCCCTCGCTCTGAGTCCTGGAGGATCGGCCAGTGGGAGCCCCAGCGCCCGAGGCCCGCGGGAGTGGACCGACTGGGGAGACAGGTGTGGGGGACAGGTGCCCACCGCTGCTGCCCACCGCTCCCGTCCTCGGGGCGGGGCTCGTGGATCGCAGGCGGCGGACAATGGCGCTCTGTCCCCGCGGCTCATGCCCCGCCCCCAGGCCCGGCTGCCAGCCCCTTTCAACCCGGGGGGTGGGGGCGGGCGGCGCCCCGTTCTCACGGCCGTTGGGCATTTGCATGGCCCCATCGCCCGCATTGTTCCCGGGCCCTCGGAGGGCGCACGGCCCGGGCGTTCGGGCACCGGCTGGGGGCGACGGGCGCAGACAAAGGGGAGGCGCGGAACGCTGCGGGAGCGCGGACTGGGGTGCGGCGCGCCTGCCCCGACGGCCGCCGCCCGCGCCCGGACGCCCACGCCGTGTCTAATTCCTGCAGGAGCCAGGGCGCGCCGTGATGTGCATCCCAATGGCGGGGACCTCGGGCCTTTCCCAGGCTGCGCGGGCTTCCAGCCTGGGTCCTCCGAGGTCAGGGGCGCAGCTCCAGCTCCCTGATGCCCGGAAGCTTCGGCCACGGCCACAGGCACAAAGGCACCCGGGCCTGCGGGCCCTACACGGATATCCCTGCCAAAGGCGTCCACAAGGTGCTGGTGCGGTGCCTCTGGCTTGCTAGGTTGCACCCTGACCCCACCACAACCTGTCTCCCATATCAGCCAAACCCCTGAAGGCAAGAGGAGCCTGCCCCGTCTGTCACTGACCCCAGAGCCCAGGCACTGGGGCTGCACAGAGTTCACCAGTGGGCAAGTGCCTGATTGTCCCACACCGGGAGTGATAATGGTGCTGATGAGAGGGGCTGCCTGGAGGGAGCGATCTCATTGTCCCGAGGGGTGAGGAAGGGGCTCCCTAGGCTCCGTGCCCTGCTGCCCCTTGACCTGCTCATTGTCACCCTGTTGACCCAGCCTGAATGGATGGGCCACCGTGCGGGGGACTCGTCGTCCTGAGTCAGGGGCCACAGGCGACAGGGGGAAGCTTGGCTCCTGCTCCCCAGGGGCACCTGTCCCCCTCCCACTGGAAGGAGGCATGGGATGGTCACCCCCACACCCCAGCCCTAAACAGTGGCTCAAGCGGATGAAGCAGAACAATCTACAGAGCACCCCACATTCAAGGCAAAGCTGGGAGCGGGGGGGGGGGGAGCGAAAAAGCAAAGGTGTGGTTCAGGAGAGTTCAGCCCTGGGCAGAAGCCCCAGATAACGGCGCGGGACCGCAGGACGCGGGAGTGGTGTGGCTCAGAAGGAACCAGAGGGAGGGGTAGAAGGTCAGGGTGAGAAATGTCGGCGCCAGGAGAAATGAACACCCACAGCTTTCCCACCCAGAAGAGGCTGGTGGGGCAGAGCGGCATGCTGCGCTCACTCAGCTCTCTCGACCTATTAGAGGAGCGCTGAGGAGCTCAGGAGCTGGGGGTCTGCAAGCTGTCCCCGGCCCAGGCAGAACCGGTAGCTGAGGCCAGAACGGAACACGCAGGCGCACTGGGGGAGCTAAGGGAACAGAGCCCCTCCCCCACTCTCCTCCCCTGCGCCCCTCGGCCCTGGGCCTCTGGACCCGCCAAGCTCAGTTCGTCCAGCCGCAGTGGGCGCCTGGTCCGCTTAGTCCCGGTCTGTGGGGAGAGAAGGCTCCAGGCCTGGGGTACCGAGGGGAGAGGACCGAGGGGCCCGGGCAAAGGGGCGCTAGCCTAACGGAGGTTTATCTCTGTGCGATGACAGATCTGAGATCCCTGGCATCTGCCTGACGTGCAGTGAGGCGCGGGTGCTTACAGTAGGCTGTGGCAGGAAAGCCCGAAGACCAGCCTAAAGCAAACAGGAAGGGATTAGGCTGCAGGAAGGACATCCACTCTTCCTAAAGCAAGAACCGCAGAGCCAGGGAGACTGCAGCGTCTCTGCTGGATCTAGAGCGCCCTCTGGTGGGCAACAGTCTTCAGGACAACAAAGGCTCTGGGGCAGCCCCCCTCCCCCTCCCCCTCCTGCTCAGGCCCAGCCCCAAGACCCCTCCCGTTGCCCCTCTGCGGTCTCAGGACAAACATAGGTAGCGCCCAGGTCAGTGGTGGTGAACAGCCGGCTGTTACCCTTGAAAGCTCTAAAAGGTTCACCATCCCTGACCTACGTGAAGGCTGCTTCCAGCCCCTTATGCCGGTTTTAGGTTTTAGGCCTGCTCAGGCTGGCAGCAGTTTAGGAACAGGAAGAGCATCCGGGATTTCTGAACAAGCACGGGCCCTTTGGCCCTGGAGAGGACCCTCCTGGTGGGACATGGCATCCTAAAGGGAGCCCAGCGGGCCCAGGGAGGGAGGACTTTGTCACCGCTAACAGCCCTTTCTGCCCCAAGGTCCTACTATTGTGTTAGAGGGGAGAACGGCCCATTCCCATGGCACAAATAAGAGGAATCAGAGTCCTTGGTGACCATGGTGTTTATCGCCCCAGACAGCTAGGCCTGCCCAGGCTGCACTGTAACTGTGACACGGACCCCTAAACTGGCAGCCCCTGGGCACTTCGCTGTGGGCCCTTCACCCACGTGTGCAGGCTGGTGGCCAGTTACAGCCTTGCCTCCCCCTCCCCACGGGGGAGCTGTCTTTAGGGACAGGAGGCTTCTTCCTTGAAGCAGGAGAGGAGGGAGCTAAAAGACTTCACTAGGAGGAGCCAAATATCATCATCTTCCTGCTGCAGTGCTGGGGATCAAACCCTGGTTCTAACACACGCTGGGCAAGTGCTCCGAGGCTGAGCTGCAGCTCCCTGCTGCCTTCTAAAAGGGGGTGTCCTCTGCAGAGCTGGCAGCACATCAGGCCCGAGTGTCTGGCTCCTCCATGCTGAGAGGTGCCTGGGCTTCATCCGAATGCTCACCTGGTACCTGAAAGGCAGGGGAGGGGCAGGGTCGCCCCAGGGAGCTACAGGGACAGCCCAGGGGTGTCCACCAGTGGAGGAGGAGCAGATGAGGCAGGAAGGAATTAGTGGTGAGCACGGGAGGCGGCAAGTGTGGGAGAGTTGAAGGGCCCGGGGCTAAGAGGCTCTTGCTGTGTCTCACCTCCCAGTAAATCTGGTCCTCATAGCACTGGGAGTCCGGGGGAGAGTCCAGGAAGGGCAGCCTCAGCAGGAGCCCTAGAGGCAGAAAGGGAGGGTATGAGCGGTCACCCCCATCCCTGGAGGGAGGCTGCCACCAGTGCCCAGGGCACAAGCTGGGAGGCACCACGTCAACGTGGCACCTGGTGCAGGCGAACCACAGCCATGTTGGCTGAGCACCTAGTGCATGCCAGTCCCTGTGCCAAGTGCTTGACAGGCATCGCCCTCCGAGAAATCACAGAAACCCTGCAAGGTGAATATTTCCCTGTGTTACAAAGCAACCAAGGGCCAGAGATGCTAAGTGGCTTGCCCAAGTTTGCACAGTTGGCAGGTGATCAAACTGTGACTGTCATGACCCAAGGCTGCTGAGTCTCCTGTGTCCTCCTACATAGCAAGGCCACTGGAATATTTATGGTACAATCAAGTTACTCAGTGAATGAGCTGAACTTCAGAGGGTGAGAGCCTCTGGAATCCTGGGTCAGCTGTTAGCATTAAGGCTAGACATTCGGAAGCACTGCCAGTCTGCCTCTCTGGGAGAGGCTGGGGCTGGGGTAGGGGGGAGGCCAGATTGCCCAGTGGCCCCTCCAGGCCTCAGCCTGAGGCTGGGCTGCCCTCTAGCGGGCTGAGGGAGCAGCACAGGGAAGCCAGTCAGGAGGAGTCAGACACAGACCCAGCCCAAAGCCAGCTCCACAGCCTGCCTGGGCACCAGGAGGGAGCACGCACCCCCCTGCACCTCTCCTCCCTGAGGAGGCTGTCCCAGCCCCTCCACCTGCCCCTCCCCTGGCACAAGGTAGCATCTGCACAATAAATCCGTGAGCAGGGGAATCAGTGTCAAGGACATAGGATCCCAGCGCCCTCCTCCTGAGAACCCCTCCTCTGCTCTCTCCCTAGAGCCTGGCAAGCCCCACCCAGCCAAGCTCACTCACCAACAAGACTGCCGCCCACAAAAGCAAACGCCAGTGTGACAAACAGCCCAAAGAGCTGGTAGATGGCCTGCGACCTGGCGCTGCGCTGGCCCTCAGCTATGAGTGGAAAGATGTTCTGCAGGCTGTAGGAGAGCAGACAGTGGGGCCAGGAGTGGGTTGGAAGGGCAGGGATGGCCAGGGCCCTGGGCTGGCCATCGTATGGCACTCACCCGAGTGGACACCCAGCAGCGAGGTGGCCTCTAGGGAACCTTTGCCCAAGCCAGGCCACAGGGGTTCAGCGGACCCTTGTGGGCTGGCGGACCCCGTTCACCACTGCTCTGCAGCCCCAGCCCCACCAGACACCTCTCAAGCCTCAGTCTGAGGGTCGTTTTGCTCTCCCTCCCTCTGAGCCCCAAATTGCCAAAAGAGACCCCAAGGGTCATCATCTCCTACTGCCCTTTAGTAACGCTCAGCACTCCTGAAATCATTTGTTCAACGACTTTCTGCTGTGCTTGACCAGGAGGGCAGTCCCTAGGTGCATCTTGTTCTCTCTACTTTCCCTGGCTCACACAAATGGACGGACAGGTGGGTGGGTGGACAGATAGGTGGGTGGTTGATAAGGTGGATGAAAATACACAGCACACAAAGCATGAGATGGGCTGGGGATTTAGCTCAGTGTGAGCGAAAATGACTGCCATGTGGGTTGGGGGAAAACTCACCCATCTCCGTAAGCTTCGTGGGTGGCCAGTGCAGTCACAAGGACCCCCAGAAGGGCCCCCAGGATGCCTGGCATCCCATGGAGGTTGTGGACACCGCAAGTGTCCTGGACTTTGAATTTGGATTCAAGGATGGGCTGGAGGACAGGGTGGATAATCAGGTTCTGGTGCCCTCTCCCACCCCGCCATGGGGAGGTGGGAAGAAAGCAACTCCATGTTCTACCCAGGGCCAAAGAGGCAGCTGTACCGTGAAGAACTTGTACCCCAGCGTGGAGACAGTCCCAGCCAAGAAGCCAGCTGCCAGGGCCCCGAAGGGTGTCAGCATCATTTCACCCGATGTGCCCACCACAACCCCACCAGCCAGTGCTGCATTCTGGATGTGAACCTAAGGGCATAGGGAAGGGCAGGGCATTGGAGGCCCTGGCAACCTCACACCCACACATGACCCAACACCACCCACCAGAGACACCTGCTGCTTCCGGAAGTCCTGTCCTCTAACTCTCCCTCTCCTGCTTTCATACTGGCTCCTCCTGCTCTGTTCCACCACTACCAGGGCAGAGGGGCCCGGGGCTCATTACCCTGAGACTTCCCTGCAGGGCTCAGTCCTTCCTCGGTCAGGCTGTCCCTGTGCCTCCCCAAGGCTCCTCCGCATACCATGTTGAGCCGCCCGCCCCCGCCGACCAGGGCTGACAGGGCAAAGGTGCTCAGTGTGCTGGCGGCCAGGGAGTAGTAGGTGTTGAGGGCTGTCCGGTGCTGCGTGTCCCCCAGTGACGTGGGTGCAGAATTGAAGCTTGGCCAGAAGATCCACAGGAAGATGGTCCCTAGAGGGTGGCAGCCAGGCAGTGAGCAGTTCGAAATATGAAATAAAAACAAGCCGCCTACTCACTCAGCAATAGCAGGTACAGAAGGCGTGACATGAAGGGATCGCTGGTGGAAAGCCACAGCATCAGGGTGTTCATAAAGTAACAGGAAAGGAAAGGGTAGCCAGGCGCAGTGGCACACTCCTGTGATCCCAGCACTCGGGAGGCAGAGGCAGGAGGGTTGCTGTGAGTTTGAGCCCAGCCTGGGCTACATAGCAAGACCCTTTCTCAAAAAAAGGAAGGAAGGAACACACAGAAGAAATGGACAGGTTCCTAGATGCATATAAATGACCAAAGATGAATCAAGAAGACATAAAAATTCTAAATAAACCAGTATTAGTCAAGGAAATTGAAGATGTAATTAAAAACCTACCTACAATGAAAATCCCTGATGGATTCACTGCTGAATTTTACAAGAAATTTAGAGAAGATCTAATGCCCCTACTTCTCAAACTCTTCAATGAAATTGATTTTTTTTTTTTTTTTTTTTTGGTACCGGGGATCGAACTCAGGAACTTGTGCTTTCGAGGCAGGCGCCAGAACCACTGAGCTAAATCCCTGGCCCTCTTCAATGAAATTGAAAGGGAAGCAATAATTCCAAATTCATTCCTGGAAGCAAGCATCACCCTGATTCCAAAACCAAAGGATCCAAGCAAAAAAGAGAGAACTACAGGCCAATCTCCCTAATGAACGTAGATGCAAAAATCCTCAATCAGATACTGGCAAACAGAATGCAGAAGATCATCAAGAAGATCATACACCCTGACCAAGTCGGATTCATCCCAGGGATGCAAGGATGGTTCAACATATGGAAATCAATAACTGTAATACACTACCTTAACAGAGCCAAGGACAAAAAACACATGATCATCTCAATAGACAAGAAAAAGCATTGGACAAGGGCCAACACCCATTCATGATAAAAGCCCTACAGAAAATTGGAATAGATGGTCTTTATCTCAATCTGATAAAAGCCATCAATCACCATGCCCAGCTTGTAATAGCTAAATCTTGGAAACAGCTCAAATACCCATCAACTGACAAATGGATAAAGAAGATGTGGTTTTTCTTTACACAGTGGAATATTACTCTGCCATAAAAAGGGATAAGTCGGAGACATTTCTAGCTAAATGGATGAATTGAGACCATATGGTTTAGTGAAATAAATCGAACACACATGTTTAAATACCACATTGTTTCTCTGGTGTGAGAAACTGAAAGTGGAAATAAGGACTAAAATGTATAACAGACACTGGGAAATGGGAAGAAAATGTTAAGATGGGAAGGGGAACAGGGAAGGGGGGGAAAGGAAGGAAGGGACAAGAAAAAAGAATAGAAGGAAGAAACTGAAACAACGCTTTTGTAAATAAGGAGGGGAAGAGGGTTCAAAGGGGGGATGGGAAAAAAGGAGCAAGATGTATCATGTGTAGGTGAAATTTCCTATGATGAATGTCATCCCTATGTACATCAGAACATGTTTTGGTTCCAAAAAAAAAAGGGAAAAGGGAAAAGGCAAAGTCCACAGACACTAGGCACTACGATGGTACACAGGAAGACAATTTGCTTGTAACTCCAGCCCCTGTTAGGCTGCTCTAGCGGCCAGGCCTGCAGGCCAATCCTAGAGGAGAGAAGGCTGGGGCCGTGGGGGCGCAGGAGGCGCAGGGACCCCAGTCCTAAGTGGCCCACGAACTGGGTAAATCCGCCCCCACACACGCAGCCTCCAGGGGGAAGCTGGGGAGTAGCGCAGGCAGGGCTCTGCCTGCCTGGAGACCCACACCCAGCCAACGGGCCGCGGCAGAGACCGCAGAAGCTCCAGGATTCGTGGAAAGCTCGGCAGCCTTTAGGCTTCAGGGCAAGCTTACCCCGGTCTGTGGGGCAGGGAACCCGGGGAAGGAGAAGGCAGCTGGGCAGGCGGGGTGCTAGGTTTGAACCAGATGCGTCTGGCAGGAGCTGCAGGGAGGGCTCGTGAGCAGGAGGAGGAGAGGGTGGGCGGTGCCTGGGATGAGGGTCCCGGGCCCCAGAGGCCTTAGGGAGGCCGGGTGGGTTCAGAAAGACCGCTGGGAACGGTCTGAGGCATGAGCACACCCTAGAGCTTAGACCGGGATCCAGACCGGAAGGTGGTTCCCTCCCAGGACCCCAAGGACCCGAGGCAGCTTCCCCAGACCCCCGCCCAGAACAGGCATCTAGAACCCGCCCGTGGTGCCCTCTAGCCTCACCAATCATAGCAAAAAGGTCGGAATGGTAGGTGGAGCTCTGGCGGTGCTTGCTTTTCTCCAGCCGGGGCCTGTAGAGGACCCGAGAGAGGACCAGCCCGAAGTAGGCGCCGAATGCGTGGATGGTCATGGAGCCGCCAGCGTCTCTCACCTGGGAAAAGTGGAGGAGGGAGAGGAGGAGCGGGAGGGGAGGGGAGGGGAGGGGAGGGGGGAGGCAGCCCTGTCCCTGCCCACAGCTCTCCCGCTCAGCCCCGCCCACTCTCTCACCCCCAGGAGATGGAGGAGCACGAACTCATTGGCACCGAACAGCACCACCTCCAGCAGGGCCATGAGCAGCAGCTGCGCAGGCCCGGTCTTGCCCAGGATGGCGCCCAAGGAGATGAGCAGGGCCCCGGCGCAGAAGTCCGCGTTGACCATGCTGAGGTCGGCGGAGAAGAGAGAGAGGGGTGGGGAGGGGCAGACGTGGCCGGCGGGAAACAGCAGCCGGGCACGCGGGAAGGGTGAGGGGCAGGAGCTGAGCCCTTGCAGGGCACAGGGGTCACCCGCGCCTTCTCGGCTGACCAAGCTACAGTGGATGGAAGGACCAGGCCCAGAGCGGAGCTGCTGCAGCCGCTGCCCTCTCCGCCTCACTTTCTCCGTGCCCACGAGCCCTAGGGTGACAGGCCCCAAGGAAGAGAGGCCATGGGACCAAGTGTGGGGCCAGGTGGGGCAGCAGCAGTCAGGGAGGGCCCCGGTGCCCACCTCTGCACGCCAACGTGGATGTGGCTGCTATGGGACGAGTGGAGGAAACCCTGGACCAATGTGGACCACTGCAGGGCAAAGGCAGCCAGGAGGAAGGTGAAGCCCACGCTACTGAAGCCATAGCGATGCAGGAACACCATAAGGAAGCCAAAGCCCACGAAGACCATGGCGTGCACGTCCTGGAAGCCTGTGGGGCACAGGGGTGTGGGCCCTGGGCTGCTCTGGCCACACCTGGCCATCAGCGGAGCAGCAGCCTGCCGCCTGGCTCTCACCAGCCAGGGCTGCCCTGAGGTGGGGCCAGGCCCGTAAAACTCCCAGCCCGAGCCACCTGCACAGAGCCAGCCAGCCTGGGGCAGTGGGACCCAGACTACCCCTGCTGCGCCCTGTCAGGCAAGGGACTAGAACCTCCGGCTCTGATTTGCTCTCTGCCCTGCTCATTCTTCCATCCGTGCTCTGCTCCAGCTGACCAGTTAAAGGTCCAACCTGTGTCAGGCCCTCCCCCTCCATGCTCAAGACCTTTCCCTTTCTTTTAAATTTTTCCTTCCTGTTGGATGTCTAACTTCCATCCCTCATCCATCAGAGGCCGGATGTGGTGGCTCACGCTTATAATCCCAGCACTCGGGAGGCTGAGGCAGGAGGATTGTCCTGAGTTTGAGCCCAGCCTGGGTTACATAGCGAGACCCTGTCTCAAAAAAAAAATATTAGGAAAAAGCTTTAAATTGTTAATGGAGATTATGTTGAGGGGAAGGGAATTGAAGGGGGGCAGGGCCGCTAAGTCCCCAACTTCAATGCAGATGGCACCCCCTGGAGGTGTGCCCAGTGGAGACTCTGGGAGAAAAGATTTCTTCCTTCTTTCCTTTTTTTTTTAACTGGGGATTGAACAAGGCCTTGCACTGAGCTGCATCTCCAGCCTTTTTTATTTTTAGATAAGGCCTTTCTCACTAATTTTCCCAGTCTGGGCTTGAATTTGGAATCCTCCTGCTTCAACCTCCAGAGTTCAGGGGTTACAGGTGTGCACTACCACACCTGACTTTTTGTTTCTTTCCATAGTTTGAGTATTTTAACTTCATAGATGAACCCCTTCGATGTATAGTGTGTTATTGGGGTTTCTGAGCAGGAAGACATGGACCCTTTTATGTTTGCTTTCTAATCTGTACGACGCTGCATTTAAAAATAAGCCAAAGGCTGGGCATGGTGGCACACACCTGTAATCCCAGCTCTCAGGATGCTGAGGCAGGAGGATTGCTGCAAGTTCAAGGCTTCCCTGGGCAACTCAGTGACCTGGCAATTCAGACCTTGTCTAGAAATATAAAGAGGGATGAGGATGCGAAGGCCCTGGGTTCCATCCCTAGTACAGCCAGAAAGAAAGAAAGAGAGAAAGAAAGAAAGAAAGAAAGAAAGAAAGAAAGAAAAGAAAGAGAGAAAGAAAGAAAAGAAAGAAAAGCAGACACACTAAAAATATTGCGTAAAATACCTGCAGCCTCTGTATATAAGGTATATATAAAACATCAGTGATTTCTTGTCTCTATTGGGTCCCCTCCCCCAAATATCTCATTTCATATATGCAAATAATCCAAAATCCAAAACACTTCTGGTCCAAAACATTTCAGATAAGGGATATTTAAGCGCTACACAAGTTTTGTTGTAAATTACCTCAAATCTCTTGTAAGAAGAGGCAGATTATAAGGGGAAAAAGTCCTGGTCACTTTCTGTTTAATCTGAAAGGGGACCAACAAGCCAGGAAATTCTTTTTTTTTTTTTGGTACTAGGGATTGAACTTGGGTCCTTGCGCTTCCACAGCAGGTGGTGAAACCACTGAGCTAAATCCCCAGTCTAAGCCAGGAAATTCTTAATGAACTTTGGAATACAATCTACAACTTTAAGAGAAACAATCTCATGCTTTTTTGGGTGCTGTGTATAAGGGCAAAGAGAAAATTAGTTCACAAGCAGGGGGCTGGATGTGTGCTGGGGTTTGTGGGCCACAGCTCAGCCACCAGCCCCAGGGCCAAGGGCACCAAGGGCAGAAGCCCTGCCAGCCTCACAAGTGAACCCCATCCCTCCCACCATGGCTCTGCAGCCTGCCTGCCGAGGCACCCAGGCCCCTTAGGACTCTGCCTGATGCTGCCTTCCTTGTACGACAGCAAAGAGGGGGCCGAGTCTGTCCTTGTGGGTCCACTGTGCTGAAGGACTGCCCGGGACTTGTCTTAGATGGCAGTGATTACATCTCCTTGTCCAGGTTTGTTTGGAAGCAAAACTCAATCTGGAGTCTAAACTCCAAGCAACCTCCCTCCCCAGGAAGTGCTCCCCGTCTTCTCCCTGAGCTCCGCCTGGTGAGGGCCTATTCCAGCTGGAGCCTGCATGGTTAAGATGACCTGCAGACACTCCCTCTGGGGTCCCAAGGGGGTGCGCTACAGCCTGCCCCCCAAATATACAGAATTCAGTCAGAGAAGCTATTGCCCTCCCTCGTCCCTTACTGCCTCCCCTACTGGGTGACTGGACAGGACAAGATCACGGGACAAGGTGGCAGTTACAGGCAGGTCTTTGGTATCCGACAGAATACATTGAACCTGGCTCCCCCACCTTCTGACCCTGTGACTTTGGACAAGCCACTTGGCTTCTCTCAGCCTCAGTTACTTATTCTGTAAAGCAGAGATAAAAACATGAGAATCGCTGGGGATTTAGCTCAGTGGTGTCGATGCCTGCCTTGAAATCACAAGGTCCTGAGTTTGATCACTGGTACAAATAAATAAATAAATAAAACATGAGAAACAGAAAGCTGGGTATGGTGGTGCACACCTGTAATCCCAGCACTTGGGAGGCTGAGGCAGGAGGATCACCATGAGTTCAAGCCCAGCCTGGGCCACATAGCAAGTTCAAGTTCAGCCTGATCTACATAGTGAGACCCTATCTCAAAAGAAAAAGAAAAAAGAGGAGGAACAGGAACAGGAAAAAGAGAGGGAGGAGCAGGGGAGGCTGTCCTCCCACTCCACTCCCACCAGCCTCAGGACAACTGGCTGTATTCTCTCGGAGAGCCCACAGGCCTCTGGCCCTGGTCACATCCCTCATGCCTCACGTCTTCCAAGAAGATTCTGAGTCCATCAATCATAAATCCCTCTCCATGCAAGTAAGGTTTTTAAAAAGACAGACTAAGAGACTGAGGTATCTTTAAAAAGACCATCCAGAGCCAGGCATGTTGGCATGCCACATCTGTGACCCCAGCACCCAGGAGGCTAAGCCAGGGGGATTGCAAGTTAAAGCCCAGCCTGGACAACATAGCAATTTAGTGAGAACTTGTCTCTATTTTTTTAAAAAAGTCTGGGGGCTGGGGATTGACTCAGTGGCACCACACCTGCCTCGAAAGCACAAGGTCCTGAGTTTGATTCCCAGTACCACCAAAAAGAAAAAAAGCCCGGGGATATAGATCAGTCCTGGTACCAAATAAATGGCCAGGGATTTAGCTCAGTGGTTTCACTGCCTGCCTCGAAAGTGCCAAGGTCCCAAGTTCGATCCCGGGTACCAAAAAAAAAAAGACAATAAATAAATAAATAAATAAATGGAATGTCCATTTTTTCCCTTAGAACCTATGCTCATATTTGCTTCCACATCACCATGGCTTCTTTCCTTCCCCTCTTTCTTATTTTCCATCAGTTGCCTCATGGAGTAAGAAAGGTGTGTAGTGTGGGTAGAAGCTCTACCGTGGGAATCAAAGAGACCATGTCTGGCTTTTCTGAAATTTGCCGTGTGACCTTGAGCACCTCAAAGGACCTCGCTGGCTCCCTCCGCACATGGGAACTGGGTGGACCAGATGGCTGGAGACGGCCCACACTGCAAACCAGACAGACGGGCCCCAAGTGGACCTGCCCTGGCACTGGCCAGGCCAGAGCTCGCCAAGAGCTGCGAGTTCCCTTTCATCTCCTGAATCAAAGGGCCACAGCTACACTTCCCTTCGACCCTGACCCCTTCCCCGGACACAGAGACAAGTGAGAGGCGGGCTCATCAAAGCCCCGGGCTCTAGGGACTTCACAGGTTTCTCCTGCCCAAACTACCCCCACATCAGGGTCATAGTCCACAGGGATGGCAATCTAGAGCACAGAAAGAGGCAGCGTATACTGTAAGGGAAGGAAGGAAGGAAGGAAGGAAGGAAGGAAGGAAGGAAGGAAGGAAGGAAGGCAGGCAGGAAGGAAGGAAGGCAGGCAGGCAGGCGGGCAGGTGGGCAGGCGGGCAGGCAGAAATCCCATCCTATCTATCTTCTTGCTGCACTCCTGGAGTGGAAAGCTGCCATTGAGAACCCAGCATTGCAGCAACAGAACGAGAGAGGCTGGACTCCAGGGTGCTTTGTAACAGGCAGGACTTTGGGCCCTGAGTGAATTCAGCACAGGGGAGAAACTCCTGAGGGTTCTGGGAAGCAGCCAGGTCAGACCCTCACACACAGCTTCCCTCTGTCTGCCCCTGGGCCATTTCTTCCTGACTCCTCTCTGAATGAATGAAAGTGAGGTAATAACAGCCCAGGATGTTTTATAGCAGACTTGTACACCCTATGCCTCACTGAATGTCTATCCTTCACTGAGGCATCCGTCTTCCTGTTGCTCAGATGGGGAAAACTGAGGCCTAGGGAAGACCTGCTCAAGCATTTGTGCTGAGTGTGGGAGGTCTGATACTCTTGGGCCCAGCTCCCCAGACCTGACTTAGAAGGCAAGGCCCCTGCCAGGCATGGTTATGCACACCTGTAATCCCAGCACTTGGGAGGCTGAGACAGGAGGATCCCTGTAAGGTCAAGGCCAGCCTGGGCTACATAATGAGTTCAAGACCAACCTCTAATTATATAGCTACACTTGTCTCAAAAAAAAAAAAAAAAAAGTGCTGGGGATTTAGCCCAGTGGTTCCATCGCCTGCCTGGCAAGAGCAAGGACCTGAGTTCAATCCCCGGTACCAAAAAAAAAAAGCAAGGCCCCCAACCTTGAGGGAGGGGCTTCGTCCCCACAGGGGGATAACCTCCCCATCCTGAGACTTGTTAGCAAGTGATTCCAGTTCTGCCCTCACATAATGGGGCTCACAACCCCTCTGAGACAGCTTCCTCCCTGTGAAACAGCCAATAACCCTGCCTCGCCTCCTCCTCATGACTGGAGGCTGCTGCCCTGTGGTGTGGTCAGCTGGTTCTCTCTGATTCTGGAAGGGTCAGCCTTGGGGTCCTGGGGAAGAAACACCTGAGGCCAGGCTTGGCAGCCCACAGATAGGAGGGCTTCATATCCAGTCCCTGGCACCTCCGCCGGCCTCTCCTGCCAGCAAGATTCTCCTTCCTGCGGCCGGGGTGGAGCCCCTAAGGGGGGCAAAGGCTCTCAACAGCCTTCCAAGGCCCAAGAAGGCCAAACAGGAGGTGGGGGAGGGAGTGTCCAAGCTAGGGCTTTAGCTGTGCTTCAAATCCCAGCTCCCTACTTCTGAGGTGCGACCCCAGCCCCTTAACTTCTCTGCACCTCATCTTTGTCTCACGGACTAAATGAGACCACGCAGGCGCCATCCTCAGCCCTGCACCCCAAACGCAGTGACCCTAGAAAAAAGGGGCCCTTAGCTCCCCAGAGGGGAGATCGGAGCCCCGAGCCCCAGCCCGAGCCCCCTGGGAGCGTGGGTGTCCGTCCGCGCCCTGCACTCACTTGGGTAGCGAAAGTAAAATTCATTGTTTGCGCTACTGTGGTTGCCCCCGTGCCAGAGGGCAGCATCGGTCTCGCGGTTGTAGCGAACGAAGATGGCAAAGAGGATGGCGGTGGCGCCCTGGAAGATGAGGCACAGCAGGGGCAGCTGCAGGCGCCGGCCCGCGGCGCGCCGGGGAGTCCCGGGCATGGCCCCGGGCGGAGAGGGCGCGGGCGCTGCGGGGACTTGAGGCGCTCCCTGGCTCAGCTCGGCGTGCTGACACTCGCGGGACGAGCCCGACGGGTTCCAGGGTGAGGCCCCGCCCACGGGACACGCCCACTGGAGCCCCCCGCCCCCCGCCCCCGTCTGGACCGCAGGGAGGAAGAGCAGCCTCTGGCGTTGGGCATGCGGACCCCAGTTCCTGTCTCCCGGCTCGGCTGACCCTGGCGCTGTTCGGTGGGGACAGATCTTGGGAGTGACCCTGGAAAGGCGGCTTGTTCTTGCTCCGCTGTGGGGCGCAGCTGTTCAGGACCTGGCGGTGGGAGGAGGCGCCCGCCCTGTCGTACCCGGGGTGACTGGAGTGTCTCCCACAAACACTGGGCGGGGGGCGGGGGGTGGAGAAGCAGAGCTGCTTCCCGGGGAGCTCTGAAGGCACAGGAGAGAGGGGACATGACACGAAGCGCGGGCAGCACGGGACTGGCCTTGTAGGCTCCACTGCGCAGGGCCCGAGGCTGGGGTCCGGAGTCTGGAAAGGCCTTGAAGGCCCTGCGAGGTGCACGGGTGCTGCCTTGTGGGCGCTGGGCCACTGACAGCTCTAAACTGGTGGGGACCACCTCATCCGCACCCCCACACCCCACACTGCAGGTGTTGACTCCTGACACCAGCAGTCCCCGAAGGACTTGTCTCTTCTCAGGAAAGAGCAGGGACTCGCTTTGTCCCACCCACGTATTCCTTCCCCTCAGTGACTGGAGCTGCAGGCCTAGCGTGCACTCGGGGAGCTGGATTCTCTGTACCCAGCTTTCCCACGGGCCCAGCTGGGGCGCGGGGGCCTGCCTCGGAGCCTGAGGCCCCGGCGGGCAGGCACTGTGCTCCACAGCGGCCCAGCCCAGTCGGCAGGGAGTTTGTTTTCAGACCCCTCTGGGAGGGCGTGGCCTTTGGGCAACTGGTCAGCAGCCAGGGGCTCCTCTCGGCCTAACCTGCCCCAGAGAGCTTCCTAAGCCCGGTGTGGGGGCAGGAGTTGCTCTGGGGTCCCTGGGAGGGGAGGAGCCTTCCATCGGCTGGGCTTTCCCTGCGTCTGCAGCCTGCTGCTTCTTTTTTTTTTTTTTTTTTTTTGGTACCGGGGATCGAACTCCGGTCCTTGCGTTTGCAGGGCAGGCGGCAGAACCACTGAGCTAAATCCCCGGCCCTGCAGCTGCTTCTGATTCCAGTCCCCTCTATCTCGGTCTCACCTGCTGTCTCCATTCACGTCTTTGGAGTCTTCTGGGTCTCTGACTTTCCCTTCATTGTTCCTCATTCATTCATTGGCAAATGTTTATCTAGGGCAACCCTGGGCAGGTCCTGCGACTACAGCCATAGACGCTGGTCACCGTACATACCATGGTTGGGTCCTAGGGCCATGGCCTGGTGGATGTTGACGAGTTTCGGGTTGTGGTAGGGCTCTCCCCTGCAGGGAAGGGCAGGGGAGCTGGGCCAATCTCTGGAGGTACAGAGGGACTTTCAGGAAAGATATTCACCAAGGGCCGGGGATTTAGCTCAGTGGTTTCCCCGCCTGCTGCGCAAGCGCAAGGACCCGAGTTCAATCCCCGGTACAAAAAAAAAAAAATATTCACCAGCCTGTATGGATGATCTTGGTATTTTAACAGTCTGCAGCTACCAGCTGGTATCTTCCCTAGTCCAGCAGTGAGCAAGATCTTATTCCAAGGGTCCCCCAAACCTTCCACTCCCCGGAGGGTACCACCCAGAGGGACCACTGGCCACCACCCACCAAGCCCATGGCCTTCTTTTGAATCACCAAGAGCCGTCAGCCTTTGCCCCCCACCCCCACCCCCGGCAGCTCTGATGGATTAAGAGGGTTGCCTCTTGATCTTTCTTCCACATTAGGCCTCTGAGGGGCCCCTGACTGCAACCCTGTCTCCGTCTCCTCTTCTGCTGGTCTGAGGTTGGCCCAGTCCTTGACTTTCATCTTGTTTCCAGCTGTGACCAGCCAGATGCCTGAATGGTGATGGAGGGAAACCAGGGTCTGCTGCCCGGGCCCAGCCTGGGGACCAAGTAGCTGAGGTTACTAACTCGAGGTTGCTCAGAGCTGCTCTCTCCCAGGGTCACCTCTTTCCTACTCCCTGTTCTCTTGGGTCAGGAACCCCCAGGCCACTTGGCTCCTCTATTTTCATTGAGCCACCCACAGTGTTTACAGGAGGAAAAAGGGAAGATAGGAAAGCACCAGAGTAACTAAGGTACTCTTCTTTCTTTCCCCTCCTTCCTTCCTTCCTTCTTTCCTTCCTTCCTTCTTTCTTCCTTTTTCTTCCTACCTTCACCACCTCTTTTTTGCGGGGGGGTTGAGACAGGGTCTGACTATGTAGTCCAGGCTGGTCTTGAACTCACTATGGAGCCCAGGCTGGCCTCGAACTCATGGCAGTCCTCCTGCCTCAGCCTCCAGAGTGCTGGGATTACAGGCATGCACCACCACCTCCTTACTGTATGACCTCAGCAAGTTACTGAGCCCTCTTTCAGTCTCAGTTTCTTTTTTTTTTTGGTACCGGGGATCAAACTCGGGATCCTTGCACCTGTGCAGCAGGCGGCAGAACCACTGAGCTAAATCCCCAGCCCAAGTCTCAGTTTCTTTATCTGTGGGAGTAGTAATAGTTCCTTTGAGGATTCCGAATAATTTATGTAGATTTCTGGCATTTCTGCAAATGTTCAGCAGGTGTAGTGATTATTATTATTCTGATTGGTTGAGGCTGAGGAAGACGGACAAATGTATGGTTGGCTCCAGTGCTCTTGGGTGCATAGTGTCCCTGAGGAGAGGAACAGGGAGGGACAGGCACTGTCTCCATGCTTTCTCCTGTCACATGCTGGAGGGAGCTCAGTAGCAGGGGCTGGGGCCTCGGACAGGTGCATTTAGGAAGGGCCATCAGACAAAGCTCCAGTGGCACAACTCTTTGTTTTGATTTTGTTTGAGACAGGCCCTTGAGGCTGGCCTCAAACTCACAGTGATCCTCCTTCCTCAGCCTCCCTGGTGCTAGGATTACAGTCATGCACCACCACGCCTGGCAAATATATAGTGCACACACATAGCTCATGGGAAGTTCATATGGCATGTTATATGTTATTATTACGTTTTTTTTGGAGTGCTGGGCAAGTGCTCTACCACTGAGCTACATCCCCACCCCATGGCACAATTCTTAAACAGAGATTTGGGGATGGGCATAGCTTTCCTTCATTTGACAACCATGCATCGAGCAGCTGCTATGCCTAGCCAGTGATGGGGCAGTCAGGGTTGGCTTCCCAGAGGACGTGGTGCCCGTGCTGAGACCCTCGCCTAACTTCATGATAAAGTCAGTTCCTGTATCTAAACACTCTGAAATGAAAACAGAAAAGAGCCTCTGCTAGACAGCTCAATGCCCACAGAACCCAGACTCAGTCCCCCCAGAGGCAGCTGCTGTGGGCTGGTGCAGAGTGGCATTAGTTACAGTCGCATACATAGACGGCACCGTGAATGACTAAGTATGACCACATCGGCCTCCGGACAAAAGTCAGTCAGAACCGGATGCTTATGTTTGTTGAGCTTCCTTCATCGGCAAACTAAAAATGACAGTACCTTGAAAAAAGTTTGTCAGAAGGCAATTATTGTAAACCCCAATTTTTTCATTCACTTACTTATTGAATACACTCCATTTGTGTTCCTGCTCTGTTCTCCACCTCCGCCGCCACCGAATGCAATACTGTTTTCAGGATGTCAAGCTGGATAAGATGGAGACTCAGTTTCTAAGGCCCAGCAGCAGCCCTGCTTTGAGACAGGGTCTTGCTAAATTGCTCAGGCTGGGAACTTTTTTTGGGGGGGGCGCGGGTACGGGGATCGAACTCAGGTCCTTCTGCTTGCGCACCAGACGGCAAAACTACTGAGCTAAATCCCAGGCCCTGGGAACTTTTGATCTTCAGGCCTCAGCCTCCCAAAGTGCTAGGATTATAGGAATCCCCAAGGCATGTGGCTCCAGGGAAAGTTTTTGAAAGGCACAAAACTGCAGGAAGTAAGAATGTGATCCAGAATGAGAGGGGCAGAAGTCAGATTCCTAGCTCTGTCCAAAAAGCATTTTGGACCCATTGTTTAACCTGACTTGAACCTTAGCCTCCTCGTCTGCCAGATGGAAGTGACAACAGTGCTGACTTCACAGGAGCTATTGTGCAAGTCGATCCCTAAAAAGCACGTGATATGTGCTAAGTCTCAGTAGCACAGACACAGTTAAAGACACAAGTAAATAAATGCTGTGGCTGCTTCTTTGTCCCCTCCCTCTCCACCTGGTACCAGTCTCTGAGCTGGGCTAACATCCTGGGACAGGACAATGGGGCCTCAGGACTTCATGTCAAACACAAAAGCAGTGAGCTGTTAACTCTCCAGGACCTGATGGGAGCACAGAGGCAGGGCTGTGTGGAACCCTTATCTGTTATCTGTGCCCCAGGTTGGATGGGTGTGATAGCAGTCACAGGGGAGCAAGGGCTGGGTGTGGTGGCACGAACCTGCAATCCCAGCACGCAGGAGGCTGAGGCAGGAGGATCACTGCAAATTCAAGGCCAGCCTGGGCTATACAGTGAGTTCAAGGCCAGCCCAAACTACTACTATAGTGAGACCCTGTCTCCAAAACACCAATGAAAAATAAACAAGTAAGTAAATAAATAAAACTGTTAAAAAGTTATTTAATATATAAAAAAAAAGTTTAAAAGGCTGGCATGTAGCTCAGTGATACAGCTCTTGGCTGGCTTGCATGAGGCCTTGGGTTTAATTCCCTCACCAGAAAAAAAGAGAGCACAGGGTTCGAGAAGATACAGCCTCCCCCTGCAGGCACGCACGCACGCACATAGGCACGCATGCACACCTGGGTCCTCCTTTCCAGTCCGTCCAGGATTCTGCCCCTGCAACCAAGCAAAACCTCTCCTTCTGGATGAACAAAGAAGGCTGGCTGCCGTCCAGCCCTCCCTCTGAGGTTAGACCCTTGCTCCCTCTCCTACCTAGGCCAACCTGTCTTCCCTCTCTGCCTTTATCACGGACACATCTCTTCCCTGGAAAAGGAGCTGCTGAGTA